TGTGACTACTACTCTTCATGATTCTATTTGGGTTTTTCTTGGCAAAGATACTGAAGTGGTTTGCCATTTCCTTCTTCAGCTCATTTTTACAGATGAGGAAACTGAGGCACATAGAGTTAAGTGACTTGCCCAGGGTCCCATAGTTAGTAAATGTTGAAAGCTGGATTAGAACTCAGGTCTTCCTAACATCTGGTCCAGTGCTCTTCTTCACCACCTAGCTGACCCACATTGTGAATATCAATCCCCACAATCCATAATCATTCTGGGCTCTGAAGAAGGTGGGGGATGGGGGTTGGCTCCTCACTGGTTTTCCTAAATTTCACTTTCCATTCCTTTCCTTCAGTCTTTCACCCTTGAGGTTATTTGGTTTTTCCCAAAGATAAAGAGGGGCAATTGTTGTTTGAAAGCCCTTTCAACTTTGCTGAAAATCTCGTACTAGCCTGGCTATAGATCCACAAGTAATTTTAAAATGTCCATCTGACTAAAATAACCAAGGTCCCATCCCTTATATGGCCAAAATATTTTTTAATTTTTCTTTTTCCATAATTTTTCCAGTCTCTACTGAACCTCATCTCTCAGTTGTGGATTTAACTGGCAGGATTTTGTGAAGTTTTTACAGTTTGATTCCCTGGGAGTCCCACTCCCTCTGTGAATACTGATATTCCCATGCAAATGCATGCAAGACCTTTACTCACAGCCCGTTCTGCATGCCTTTCTTCATACACAAGTGGTTGTTGTTGTTTGTTCTTCCTTCTTGAAGAAGGCTATGACACCAGAGAGTGATGCCATGACATGCAAGTGAATTGGATTTAAGGGAGGGAGGGCTGTGCATAGTCACCAGTCTCACTTTCTCCTCCAGATCTATCTGGGTCCAGTGGCCAGATGTGAATCAGGACAACTGGAGATGGGGAAAAAATAAAAATTTGGATTTTGGGACCTATTTCTCCTTCCCATCCTATATTTTGTGGAGCTAAATAATCCACAACTTCATTGCTTAACCAACACCTGAGGCAGGAGGGTGTCCACTCCAGCCCAACCTAGGGGAGGGGAAGGAGAAGGGGAATCCCACAGTTAAAGCCAGAAGTGAAATAGCCATCACAACTCTTAGATTGGCTCATCATTTGTTGAAATGAAAATTCTTTGTTTGGGCTTTTCACCTTGATTAATGAGGTAAAACTCAAGACAAAGGAAATTAAAATAAGTTTATTATAAATAGTTGAGGTAGAAACATATTGAAAGGCTAATCACTGGAGTTCCAAATTAAATCACAATGGAATTCCTAAGAGTGATGTCATCCCACTTCCAGAGACCACCAGACCCCTTAAAGATCTGAATCTTGCCTCTCACTCACCAGTCTGTTATTTGAGCATGAGGCCTCAGATCCCCTTTTGGTCTGATTGCAGTTGGGTTAGGATAGCATGGTTTATCCCTGAAAATCTCTAAATTGTATACAATCAGAATACAAAGGAGATGATGGAGGCAGAGAGGCTATGGCACAAAAGACCCAACTGCCTCTTTCATTGCCTTCTGCTAGTGTTTCCTAACCATGGTTAAGTTAAAGGCTGTGCCTCAGTCTCCCTCTCATCAATCCCAGGTTCTAATAACCAGATCTATTACCCATGTAGACTAGGTCTTCTGTCTCTTCCTCCTTTTAGAGTGTGCTTTTAGGAGGGCTGTACCATTGAGGGTTTGTTTACTATCAAGGAGGCATACAGAATATACGCTCAGGTTCCCAATCCAGGGAAGGGGAAAGGGTCAGCTTTGTACCAGACCTTATGCTCCTGTAGAAGTTCAGTTCCAATAATTCAAATTTGCTGGGGCAACAGAGATTTGATCCTACTTCCCATTCCCATGCAATCTTTCTTGCACCTTCAACTAGGCCATCACCAACAGTACACCGTTTGCCTTTATCTCATTCAATTTCATCTGTAGTCATGGTGGTTTGCAGGCAATGGCAGAAGGGGGAAGCTTGTGATAGTCTTGAAAGAGGCTGTTCCCAGGATTTGGAACCCATTGGCTACAACAAAGTGTTGCTGGGACTGCTGAGGTCATGCTTCAGGATTATGTCACTGCTTGATGTTAATAATGACATTTAACTTCAGTACTTCAGCTAGGCTGGGTCCCAGCTTAGGGTGAGGATACTTCTCAGAGTAGAGCAGCTGCTGGTATCCGATAAAGAGGACAGAAATCCTACTCTGGCAACTTTGATTTAGTTATCATCCCTAAGGTTACAGGCAGGTAGTAGATGGTGATCATCTAAGACAGGAAGTTCCTTCCTTGGAAGGTACCATTCAATCCGAAGCCAATAAGTATTTATAAAGCAATTACTATGTGACAGTTTTGGTGAAATTTGCTAGGGATACAAAGAAAAAAAGAAAGAAACATCTCCTGCCCTCAAGAAACTTACATTCATTCTATAATCCTTTGGGGGGAGACATTATGTATACATATACATATATACATATACATTGTATATATGTTATACACACACACATATATACACATATATACACCTACACACATATATACATATCTGTAAATATATACAAAATCTTTTTGTGTGTGGGGGTGGGAAGACATTTATTTCTACTAGAGATCAGGAAAGACCTCATGTAAGAACATAATTCTTGAGCTGAACTTTCAAAGGAGCCAGGGTTTCTTAGAGGTTGTGGCATGGAGGCAATGTGTACCAGGCATAGGGGATCAGCCTGTGCAAAGGTACAGGAACATGAGTACAGAAATTTCCAGATGTAGATACTTCCCCCAAAAAAAGATAGGGCAGGAAGAAGGTAAAAACAGGTAAAATAAGGCATTTCTAAGGCTTAGAGTGTTTATAGGACCAATAAAGCTTAGGCCTGGTAAACTGGAAGTTTTTCTAGACCCCAGGGGAATCCTTTTGTAAGAGCAAAATGAGCCAGAGACAAATGTTCCAGTGTTCCCCTTTAATTTTCTCTAAGTTGTTTTTCAGTTGTGTCAAACTCTTTGTGACCCCATTTGGTGTTTCCTTGGCAAAGGTCTGCCATTTCCTTCTCCAGCTCATTTTATAGATGAGGAAACTGAGGCAAATAGGTTTAAGTAACTTGCCCAGGGTCACACAGCTACTAAGTGTCTGAGGCCAGATTTGAATTCAGGAAGAAGAGTCATCCTGATTTCAGGCCCGGCACTCTATCTCCTGTTCTACTTAGCTGCCCTTGTTTTTCCCTAAGTGTGTGCATAAACCAGAGAGATTGTATGTGAGGGACCCTCCAAAACAATTATGTGGTCTTGATGTCAAGGTTGATGCACTGGAACTAGGAATAAGAAGTCAGATGGTTCAAATGCCACACCGACCCTTCTGAGATATTATTACAATAGTCAGAGAAAGAACTCAAGAATTTTGGTTACATCTTCTATAGAGCATTTGTCTGTCAGAGGCAGACAAAAATTGCACAGGATGAGAAGATGTGGAGAGGCTGTTATCTGTGTCAGTGAGATTGAAGAGCCATTTAAGTATTATCTAGCCTTATGCCTCTCAAATTTCTGGGATTTCCTAAAGAGAAATGAAAGAAGAATGTATGGAATTCAGCTTTCTCAAAACTTAAATTCCCACAAAATGCACTCTTGGCTAATTAGTTACACCACAGCTTTACTATACCTACTTTCAACTGCCTACTCAGGAATTACCCCAGAAGAAATCTATTATATAATGTTTCCCTCTAAATTATTTCATTCAGTAAGTACTTAAGAAGCACCTACTATTGCAGGTACTGCTAGGCAATATAGTAGACATGAAAGACATGATCCCTTCTTCCAAAGAGCTTACAATCTAGTAAGACCTTGTGAAATCCTCATTTCTCTGTACTCCCCAAGACAGAGGAAATCAACCTCATCTTTCTTTGCTATTCCAGACATAAATAATCATGTGAGAATTCAGGTTAGAAATGAGGTCTTCTCCCTTCCCCAAATGAGAGAACAATAACTTTCTGCAGTGATTCAGAAGTGTTTTGGCTTTAATATGACAGAGCTTCTTACAGTTGTGACACAGTTGGAGCATGAGCCAACGAGAACAACTCCCAAACTTATCTCATACCTTCAGATATCCTGTTGACCTGATAATCAGGAAGGGAAGAAGCCTGTCTAAAAATTTTAAGCTGAAGTGACCTTAGAGTTACCGAAAGTATCATAGTTTTAGAGCTGAAAGGGAGCCCCTCTCCCTCCCCTTTTTTCCCCAGAGGAGAAATCTAAGGCCAAGGGAGGTTAAATGATCTGGCTGAGGTCCTACAGGTAGAGAGTAACAGAGGCATAATTGAAACCCAGTTTTCTGACTCCAATACCAGTGCTTTTTTACACTACCTTTCAACTTCTTCATTTCACACATGCAAAAACTGGTGTTCAAAGAAGTTGTAACTTGCCCATGTAACAAATGGCAGTTGGAACTGAACCCCAGGTTTGTTTGCTTTTTTTTCCCCCCAAGCCAGAGGTACTATTTTTTTTATACTACTCTTGCTCTAGATTAAGAATCAGGAGATCTGTGGTCTAGTCCCGTCTGTGCCTCTCACTAATCTCCGGAGTGACTTCTAGCCCCTACCAAACTCCATGAGTTTTTTTTTTTTTTCCTGTTTAAAAATAGAGATAATGTTTTGCCCTGATATTTTTTTTTTAAACAGAATTCTTGTGAGGCTCAAATGCGGCAACAAATGTGAGTGCTTATTAGATATAAAACATTCTCCTTGGTTATTATTATTAAGCACTAGAGGTGCGGTGAGAAATCAACTCTCCCCAGGGTCGAGAGCAACTTGCGATTCTGTCCCTCTAAGCATTGAAATCGGATTCCTCACAGCCCCTTAGGGTGCATCCAAGTCTCTGCAAATCAGAGCAAAGTAGGTCTGCCCCTCTCTGCCTCTGTTTCTCGCTGGCTTCCTCGGGTCCTCAGGGGCCAGAAAGAGGGAAGCTGATCTTTTCAGAGTTAACTCCTCAGCTCCAGGTGGTGGGGCCGGGTAAAGACGTGGGCGTGGGAGCTCCCGGGTTCCTGGGAAGGAAACCGGGAAACTTCTTGACTTCAGCAGTTCTTGAGCCCGAGCCCGGGACAGTTTGCAGCAGCCCCACATCCCCAGCCAACCTGATCGGGTGCTTTCTGGGGGCCAGCCCCACGCCTGAAGCAAGAGGAAACTTTTGGGTTCCCAGACCCTCCCCTAGCCTGGAGAGGAAAGAGCGGGACCGCCCCCGAGGGCTGACCACAGGCTGGATCTCAGCTCCGGGACTGTGAGGCGCCCCTCCGAGATCCCTGGTCATTGCTGGAGCACACACAACCGGCGGGAAAATCATGGGCCCCTCCTGGCTTCAGTGGCTGCTGAAGCATCTACTCTGCCTGCCTGGCTTGGCCATCGCCACCGTTCTACTGCTCCTGGCTCTGGGGGTGAGAGGGAGGCGGAGAAGGTAAGAGGGAGGTGGAGAAGGTAAGAGGGAGGTCACCCCACCCCACCCAAACCCGGGCTGACTTTGCAGCTAGCCTTAGCTAACCCTGCTGGAGTCGTCTTCTCTGCTTCTGGGTTAGTAGAACAAAACCCTTTTTATTCAGCCCGCTATCCATCCACTTCATGGATCCATCCTTGGATCCATGGATCCATCCATCCAAACACACCTCTCTGTCTCTGTCCCTTTTCTCCAGCCCCCTGCCAAGTCTTTTCGTAATAGCGCTATTCATTATCACATGGACAATGTTATTGTGACCTTCTATCCCAGAAGGGAGCTCTCTGGGATGACTGCAGGTATCCAGAGTCTCACAGTTGGACTTTGATATCTTTTAGTATGGTGTATAATGCAAAGACTTATTCTTTCTGTCTGTTTCGCAAAACAAATGTGAATATCATAGTTTTGGGACCTAATGCTGATACTATTCTAGCATCAGATGTCTTAAGTCAACATGTTGTTTTAATGTATGTTTCAACCAGGCATTTGTGTGCCCTGACAAAGTGAAGCGTACGCTTTATTTTCCCCTAAAACTTCGTCTAAGATTGGGGGTGGGGTGGGGCTGGGGTAGGTTATGATACTTAAGTTTCATTCCTTTGCTAGAGAAGTGTTTGAAGAAAACTTAGTACAAGAAATGAAGATTAGATCTCTTCAGAGTATTGAAGAGTCAAGTGACTCTTCTTTCGCTGATTGATTTAATAGAACTGCTTCTTTGTAAACTTTTTTTCTCCGTAGGCTTGAAAACAGATAAGGCGTTTGAACAAAAATCCTTGTGTTTATTTAGGCAGCATCTCTCCTCTCCCCCACTCCCCACCCTCAACAACCTTGTTTTGAGAAAATGCATTAGTTAGATTTAATTATCAAACGTTGGCTGAACTGTTTTTGTACTGTCTGCAAATGAATAAGTTTGTGGGGAACTTTCTCTTTTACAGATGAGTGTTCATATTCATTTTTTTTTAAAAAGAGAAAAGACTAAAATGTCCCAAAACATGCCTTCTCACAAGCTGTGTCTTTTGAAGATTAAATTTTTCTTTTAGAGCCATGGTATTTTATTTATTCTGGAATTTAGGAAAATCCATCTTCAGTTTTTAGGTTGATTCCACATAGAACCTACATCCTTCCTCTCCTCCACAACAGCATAAGTCAACACTATATGTAAGATCTAGTTGAGAGGTAGCAGCTTATTATTAATTCTGAGTCCAACCTAATTCATTATATACCATGAATAAATTTATGAATAACCACTAATATTATATTAATATCTGAAGGAGTAGATGGGGAAAAATGATAAAGTGAATAACAGAAATATCTAAATGGATTTCTAAATATTGCTCTTTAGGGGGTTTATTGATGTGGCTATTGAGGGAGATTGGAATGAAAAACCTGGAAAACAGTATCCCGTTCTGGAGGTAGAGAGAGAATGAATGGTATATTGTACTATAAAAATGGAGACAGATATAGACTATTCAGGTGAATGTCAGGAAGAGGGTGTCACCTATACATAAAAAGTAGATATTGTGAGTTTAGGGATGGAAAGTAAGGGATATTGTTTGGATAAAGGGAAAATGGGTTGAATATGACTACAGTTATTGTCTTTTACCTCCTCACTCCCTTTCTCACACACTTGAATAAGGGAGATGTTTCAGTGAACATGTACTACAAATTTAAGTATAAAGGGAAGATTTTTTGAGTTGACTTTTGTGAATCATGGAATGTTTACTTCTGAGAAAAAGTAGTTGCTAGGTTGTCTGCTCTGACAGTTCAATTATCTGGGGCATAAGGTGTGGATGTGTCTTAGAATCATAAGAAAAAATAGTTTGAGAGTTGTATGACTCAGTTTTGAGACAGCAGTTGCTGATTTTCCTAGGACAGGATATAGAATATTAGAATAAATTAAGATTACAGTATGTGTCAGTGATTTGCGTATGAAGCATTGAAGAGTTGGGGAATGTTTAGGTTAATTACTGGAGAATATTTCTGTGATTGTGTACCTGATTATAGACAGAAAATGAGAATCTGATTACTAACTGTAAGTTAAGATGTATTCATTCATGAGAAGGACCTAGCTACTGAACTAAACTAAAAGATTAGGGAGAAAGGAGAGAGAGTTGAAAGTACATGTTTAAGAACTTTGACAACCAATGTTCTTTCTTCCCATTGTTGCTGAGAAGAAAGGATAAAGAAAATTTATTCTACTCTCTATTTTCACTAAATGTGATGAATGAAAAACTGAGAGAGAGTTTCTCGGTAATTAATAATAAATGTATTTATTAGGCTAGCTAATAATCAATAAATTGGTGGTCAGTGATTTCTCTCAGTAGCCAAAGACCTCTATATATACTGACTGTCTTAAATATGTTTTTTGAAAGGGAATGTCCCTGACAGGAGAAATTAACCCTAACTGGTGGACATTTAAATGAGTAAGTAGGCAAAAAGTCTTCAGCTCCTCTTACTGAGAACATGGACTTAGCTACCTCCAACAATTTGGACAGGGGAATCCATTTCCACCCAGACTACCCTGGTCAATTTTCTCCTTCATGAGCTGGGTTACCCTAAACTCCAATGGAAGAGTGCAAGGACATGGGCTCATCCGGGTAAGAATTCACCTAGATAAGATTCTAATTATACTTCAAATAGCAGTAAGGTCTTCTAGTTAAATGGGGTCTTGCCCAAGATTGAGGAACATATTGCCTTGAGGATTAGGACACTCTCCTATTAGCCATGTCTTTCAGATCCTAGCCTACTGACCTACTGGGTCTGGTCCCTGAATGAGGAAATGAAAAGCATGGATTCTGATTAATGAGTTATTACTAAAATAGAAAATAATCATTTCTCTTATTCCCCCTTTGATTCTTTTGAGAGTTGCAGTCTCTTCAGTGAATCACTAACCTACATGACAAATGCTTCTTCAAGGGTTTATAACTATGGGTCTTATGATGGGAAACAATGGGAGGGGAAGAAGGAGAGTGACTGACCAATGCATTGACAGGAACCATTACAGCATCCCTTTTGGTAAACAGACCTTACAGAAAAGAAGCACATAGGGAAGAAATAAATAATTAACAATTAAAATTGTCCATTTTATTGGTCTGTCATGTTTTAAGGCTCAGTTGTCTCATCTCATACAGCTGTTTAGTTTCTGAAAACATCCTCTGGCGCAGTCCTTTGGTCCTTTAGAGATCTCTCTAAATCTGCAAATTGGAATGCATGGGACTTCAGAGTAGCTTCTGGTGGATTTGCTTCTCTTTTAAAATCTCATAAAGATAGATCTTAGTATAATTTTAAGTCTACTTTGCCAATAACCAGGTCAGGTAGTGAAAGCTGGCTCAAACCTTGTGGCTCTACTAGTAAGAACATCAATTTGGGAACCTTTTAGACCAGAGAATTTATATTTTTAGGTAGTCCAATTATTCTTATGTTTTCTCTTTTTGATCTGTTCTCCAGATCAGTTTTTTTTTCTTATAGGATGTTTCATATTCTCTTCAATTTTTTTCATTTTTTATATTTTGTTTTATTATTTCTTGGTGTCATAACTTCACTGGCTTTCCCTTGCCCAATTCAAATTTTCAAAGAGTTGTTTTCTTCCTTAAGATTCTGGATCACCTTTTCCAGTTGGTTGACTTTCTTCTCATAATCTTCTTTTTTTCTTGGATTGTTCTTACTTTAAAAAAAAATTTTCTCAATCTCTCTTATTTGACTTTTGAAGTTTTCTTTGAGTTCTATGAATTCATTTTGGGCAGATGACAATTTGACTTTACTCTTTGATGTAGGGGAGGCTTTTTTTGCTTTAGTATCCTCCTCTGAAGACAAACCCCAGTCTTCTCTATTCCCATAGTAACTGTCTGTGATTGGGTTTTTTCTCCTTTGCCTGTTCATTAATTTTTTAAATTTAGCAGCTTGTTATTATAATCACCTCTAATCCTGGGGTGTGGGGGATGTTATTTTTTGAGCTTTGTCCTGTGCCCAACTTCTGCATTCCTTTTCCCCTCTAAGCCACAGCTAGGGCCCCCTGGCACACTCTGCTGGAAATACTCTTGCTCCCTGAAAACCCTCCATTGGCTATGACCTTCACTTCTCCCCTCTGGCCTGGAACAGAGACAAAGAACTCAGCTGTTCTGTAAGTGCCCACAGCTAGCAGCATCCCTACTCCATTGTTTCTGCACTCACCAGATGAGGGCTGGTTTCTTCTCAACCAGTATTGTGTCTTGGCAGCACAGCTGGGTCATCTCTTGTCAGCAGAGGCTCCCTCAATCTTCTCCCACTCAGATGCCTGATTCCTGACACTGTCTGGAAGGTGAAAATTCCTGTAGACGAGGTTGAGGCTACCTCCCAAACCAACTGCCCACAGAGCTCTCTACTTGCTGTTTTAGCAGAGCTAGTCTGGAAGTGTTTACACTTTATTTGGGATGAACCTCCATCCTGGGATCTTTCTTTGTATCTTCTTCAGTTGTCCCAGGAGGACCACTGTTCTGCCCCAACTCTTGTTTATTTTTGCTACTCTATGTTCACCCTGAGGCATTATTTTGTCTTGTTTGTGGAGGAAATTTGGAGAGCTTGGAATTTTCTGACCTACTCTGCCATCCTCCCCCTTATTTTTTTTTAAACAAAATTTTCACCGTAGCTATTTATTTCATTATTTATTATAGTTATTTTCTTTTAGCTGCTCATTCCCACCTTAGGAGGATGAGATTCTGCTAAGAATAAGAAGATGACCTCTAATACAGGAATGAATTTCATTTAAAAGTTTCCAAATTAACTTCAATTGTAGCCAAAGGTTCTGGGATGGAATGTACAAATACTCTGAGTAATCAATTTCAAAACAATACATATCAGATAGGTTGTTTATAAATAATGATAAATGATAAAACATTTTCAGTTAGTAACCATGTTTAAATGGATAATTTTGAGTAAAACTGGATATCTCTTTAAGGCAATACAAGATAGACCACAAGTCATTCTTCTTTTAA